AAGATTTAAATTTTCCGCTATTTTTACAGTGGGTCGCTCCGGTGGCCCTAATGTGACTTCCTGGATCGGATCGGGCTACCTGCATCGGTCTGGGGGGTTACATTTAGTGGTATCAGAGCTATGGTTTGAGTCAAAAATTTTCAAGTTAGACCGGCCGGTCAAATGTCAAATATGTCTGATCAGTACATGCCCTAGACTGCAATCGTACCTCTCTGAGCCGGAACTCCAGGGCTGAGTCCCTATCTGTATTGAGTAAACCAAAGTTTCTATCTGCTAAGGCTATACTTGTACAAAAAGGAATACCAGTAACATCTGTCTAAACGTTGTAAAGTATCTCATGAGCCATGTGAGAGTTATTCATCTGAGAATTTCTGACTCGACTCCGGAAATGAAATTGAGATATGTTGCTGCTCTACGAGCCTATTCACGTATCCAATGCTGAATTGATTTCACAAGAATAAAGTTGTTCTGATTATTTACTTGGACTGAGGGAGAATTCTGAAGAGATTGATTACTCGAGAAAATTTTAAATTCTTTTATTGAAATAAGGAAAATTTATGATAAGAATGTATGCTCAGCTGGTTAAGGATAAGTGGAGGAATCGTACTTTTATAAAAGCTATTGATAGATTTGAAAGAACTGTTGGAAGTTTCATTTATGCAATTATGTAACATGGATGAATTTCGAGGACGAAATTCTTTTAAGGAGGGGAGAATTGTAACACCCCAATTTAGGGGCTAAATTTAAGAAATTATAAAGTGGTGGATTTAATTGGTATTTTTGGAAGGAATCGGGGATTAAATTGTAAGATTTCAAAGTTAGCAGACCATTTTAAGAAGTGTAGGAAGTTCAGTGACTAAACTCTTGGTTTAGCCAATTTCCTTTATGAGAGAATTTATAACCCCTCCCCGTGCTGCAGAATGTATAATTTTCCAGTTTTTCTCTTCCGTTGACCCAACTTCCAACTCCGATCTACTCGCCGTCCGACCTCCAAACGACGAGCCGAAACCACCATCGTGTTCGTTGTCAATCGAGGAACAAAACCCTCAAACCTTTCGTCGAGAATCATCGCCGTTCGTCGTGAATTTCAGTCGGAAGTATCGTCGGTAATAACTCGTTTTAGTTGGTTTTTCATCGATTCACGACGATCCGATGATCCGTTTACGACACCTCCCGCACCATCGTGTTCCTTGTGCCGTTCCGAGTTCACCGATGTTCTCCTTTTTCTCCGGCGGCGGCAGCGTGTGGAGGTGAAGCGGTCAAAGTTTCCGACGTTTCAAAATCGAGCTCTCCGCCGTTCAAAATTGTGAACCGAGCTTTGTAAGTATCTCGAAATCGCTCAAAATAATTTTAGAAAATTTTCTGTGAATTTTACGCTGCCGGAACAGTGCCCACGCGCCCCCACGCGCCGCCACTGCGAGTGGGGATAGTCTAAATGACCGGTTTGACCGGTTTTAGTGAATAGTTGACCGGTTTGACCGGTCACAACCCGACCCGACCCGTTGACCCGACCCGTTGACCCGACCCGTTGACCCGACCCGACCCGTTTACCCGACCCGTTGACCGTTGACCCATTGACCGTTGACCACTGTTGACCAAAACTTTGACCGGCTTTGATCGGGCATTAACGACCTTTGACTTTGACCGAGTATACCTATCCTGACATTTTTCGACGTTCCAAATCTGATTCCGCTGTCCGTTTTTCGAAATTCAAACCCGAAGGTCTCGAAATTGCCGGTCAAACCCGTTGACTTTGATTTTGACCGAATATTCCAAATTTCCGAAAAGTCATATTTTATGCTTTCGACGTCCTGAATCCGAATCCGAAGTCCGTTTCGCCAAATTCGAACCCGGTAAGCCGTCTTTCACTGATTTATCACCCGATTCGATCCGTTTATCGTAATTAAGCTTCGTTTCTGATATAATTTATGTTTATATGTATCTGAGGAATTATTGGAAGTTGAATTGAAGATCAAAGATGTTCGAATGGAATTTTTATGGTCGATCAATAGTGTACGGAAATTGAGGTAATACTTTACTACCTCTTTATGCTTTATGGAACATGTTGGTATTGATAAATGCATGAATGAAAATGTTTAGTCTCATATGTGTAATTAATGAAGATCTACACTAGGTACGAATACGGTAGAAAGTAGATAACTGAATATAGCTCAGATGACTATTATAAGAAATTGGAGGACGGTTTGAATTAAATTACAAGTTCTGGAATTAAGTAATAAAAGAATTAACCATGGATTGTAGATTATAATTTATCTCATTAAAGGTACTTAGATGATAAATTAAGAGAATATTTCGATTAGGGAAAATTACGAAATTACCCTTATGTTGGAAAATGATAAGAATTGTCTCTGGAAGTGGATTAATAAATCTGAAAAGAATTATTGATCTGCTAAAACTATTGATGTGCATAAGAAATGTTAGTTTTACTTGGAAATTATGGAGAACCGGTTTTTAACCCCAATAAGGTTTATGCAAGATACTAGAAGTGTGTTAAGGGAATTATTTCAAGATCAGAGATTGTTCAAGAAAGCAATTAATCATAGGATCTCTAAATTATATTATTTTCGTTAAGAGCTAATATCGAACTTATCTGGCTAAGAAATTACGGAAATGCCTTAAGAGGTAGAATAGTTTGAGATGACTCTGAATGAGAAAATACTTAGAGGATTCGTACTTAACTCGAATAAGTACGGATTTAATTGTTAAGATCCCGACTTAGTGCAGGAAAATTTATGATATTCCGTTTGTAAAGTCTGAGAAGACACTTGACCTGAAAATATTCGAATAATGAGTAAATACTGGAAGAGTAATTTATCGGGGGTATTCTGCTATCAGAATTGTTCGAAAGGACTGAAGTAAATGATAAGATTGAATTAAATAATAAGATCGGATGGAAGGAAAAGATTGAAATACCGTGAATCTGTAAAATGACCAAAATACCCCTGTAATAGAAATGACCCAAGAATATCACCAAGCTCAGGAATGATTGAATATCCTCGAGCTCTGAAATGAATGGAATAAAACTGAACATCAAAATTACCAAAATACCCTTATGGCCTAAATTAAGTAAATGTCTTGGATTAATTAAGGAATCCAAGTAAGATAAGTATTGGACTACCTTTAAAGGTAATGGAAAACAATTCAAGTGAATAGATCAACCCTAAAGCTATGTCAATACCTGAATGACATAGATATTACTGGAACATGTGTCATCTTCTCAAGTTTGGCTCGATGATAAATTTTGGAAGTATTCAACTCAGCTCTAGATTGTATTCAGTACTAAGAATTGGACGTTTGTTCAACAATCAACCACGAAGACCAAATTGAATGGGATGGAAGTACAACATGTATCTGAAATTCAGGAACGTTTGAATTACTCTGGAAAATTCTGAAGTAACTGGAATGGAGATGACTGCTAAATGAAATAGGTAACCTCAATGACTGAGGATTTAGTAAGTGATTTGGATAAGTCTGGAAACTCTGATGAGTTTACGTAGTGTACAATTACAATGGGTTATGAACAAATTAATCAAGTACGTCAACATTTCATGATATTGTGGAAGTGTGGAAATGAAATAAAGTCATTGGAAGATTTATTCAGCGATAATTCCGAAAATGGTCTACGGACAAGAATTTGTGGTATTAAAGAGTAAATACCCTAGAAGGAAAATGAATTGACCAGTCGACATAGATTGTTAAGGTTATGAATCTTCGTTCTCAAGTTGTTCGATTATCCGATCAATCGACATGGATGTAAAGGATTCTGAATACCCTTCTGATTACGTACAGCTTCTGAAAACTGTCCGAATAAGATAATATCCTGATAATTCACATTCTGAATAACTGATGATTCTGTCAGTTAATGAACTCTTTCAAATAGTGATTCTAAATTCCGATATCCTATCGGTATACTGAATATTCATGTTTTCTACCTGTTAAGATTATCCAATACCTCTGAATAATATCTGTAAACTCTGGTGTGTTCCCTAATCATATAAATATTTTATCTGATTTCCGACTTGAATTCTATTATGATCCTGACCTGGATTCTGATCTGATATTGACATGGATTCTGATCTGATACATGACCTGGATTCTGATATGATACTTGACTTGAATTATGTTTTGATTTTTGATATATCCATTTACGGACGGAACATGTTTTATTGGGGGGTATTGTTGGAGGAAGATTACTTGGAGGTTCCTCGGCTGTGTGCTCAGGGCCTTACTTACCGGTTCCTCGGCTGTGTGCTCAGGGCCTTACTGTTAGTGACGGGGTTGTATGGTTCTGGGGAACCTACACATTTTGTTCGTGACGGATGGGGGTATATATATATGTTTTAAAAAGATCTGAAAAGTTACATGGTTTTTTTTGGGAACACACTAGAAAACCTATTCTGATCTCCTGAACTCAGTCATCCGAAATATTTCTCTGAAACGAAAGCTCATTGTCCGTTACTACCTGAAATATCAGTAGGATCTTTGCTCAACATAAAAATCTGTAAATATCTGAACCAATAAGGAAAATATGTTTATCTGTATCTGCACGTTTTTCAGCATCATCTGGTAGTTTTGTATTACTGAGCTTTTTGAAGCTCACTCTATTACTCACCTTTTCAGGTTAAAAGAATTGTACCAGTGCATCTATCGACTTCAGTAAGGGAGTTTTTCCGGCGTTGTAGCAGAGTATGGTACATGTGAATAGGGGGCATGTAATTGTATTTTGATTTATATACGAGTCTGGAAATATGTTTTATTTTTAAATAGTGACAAATGATTTTATAAGTTTACATGTTCGGATAAAAAGATTTAAATTTTCCGCTATTTTTACAGTGGGTCGCTCCGGTGGCCCTAATGTGACTTCCTGGATCAGATCGGGCTACCTGCATCGGTCTGGGGGGTTACATGACTTCAATGTCATTGCTAAGGCCCAGGAAAGTTCATATTATTCTACTCTAGGCTCACATGTCTCACTTGACATGGAGGAGTTTCAGGGATGCATAGAGGACTTGGAGGTACAGGACCACCCTTTTGTAGGTCCACTTTTTACATGGTCAAATAAGCAAGAGGGGTCGTATCTGGCCAGAAAATTGGATATGATCATGATTAATGCTCAGTGGTTGCTGGAATTATCAGATTCTTTTGCAGAATACAAGGCCCCTGGTGTATGAGATCAGTGCCCTGTAATCCTTTGGACATAGAAGGGTATTCAGGCCAACAGACCGAAGCCTTTCAAGTTCTTCAACTGTTGGACTGCAAATGAGAATTATTTGAGATGTGTGAGGGATTCTTGGTTGGGCAATAGTGGGGGTAATGCTATGCAGGTGATGTTCAGCAAGCTGAAGAGATTGAAGCCAATTTTAAAGGACCTGAACAATCAGCATTACTCTGACATTTCTGCTAGGGTAATTGCTAAGAGGGCTGAGCTTGAGCATGTTCAGATTTTTAACCTAGCTAGGGCTAATCAAATTAGAATTGAAGAGAAAAGAAGAATTCAGTCATATTTGGTTAGCCTTGAAATTGATGAACTGGAGTTTTACAAGCAGAAAGCTAAGATGCACTGCTGCAGGAAGGGGACCTAAATACAAAGTTCTTCAATCAAAAAGTGGAGTCTCACAAGAAGATGAACACTATAAGAGTCATCAAGAATGAAGCTGGGCATTACCTTGAGACTTTTGAAGGAATGGTTGCAGTGCTGTTAGAGTTCTATAGCAAACTAATTGGGGCAGCTGATCCTTTGGTTCAAGGATGTCAGATTGAAGGGTTAAGGGACCTTCTGAATTATTCCTTGCCTGCTGGAGCTGACAGAGTCCTGGTTGGGGAAATTTTAGACATGGAAATCAAAGAAGCCTTGTTCAGACAAGGAAAAGATAAAAGCCCTGGGCCTGATGGATATACTTCCTCGTTTTTCAAGACTGTTTGGGGGATTGTAAGTAAAGACTTCCTAAGTGCTGTGAGGTATTTCTTTCATACTTCTTATCTCTTACCAACTTTTAATGCAACAACCATTTTCATAGTGACAAAATCTTTGAATGCTTGTAAGGCAAGTGAATTTAGACCTATATCCTGTTGTTCTGTTGTTTATAAGACTATCACTAGGATCTTGGTCACTAGACTTGCCCAATACTTCCCTGACATGATCTCAGCTAGTTTGTCAGCTTTTGTAAAGGGCATAAGCATTACTGACAACACTTTATTAGCCCAAGAGATTGTTAAAGGATATTCTAGAAAGAACATTTCCCCTAGGTGTGTAATTAAGATTGACTTGCAGAAAGCATTTGATTCGATTAATTGGGGGTTTATGCTTAATGTTCTGGGAGCTATGAGTCTGCCTGCTATATTCTGTGATTGGATTAAAGCTTGTGTAACAACCCCAAGCTACTAAATAGCTTTGAATAGTAGCCTAGTGGGATATTTCAGAGGTGCAAGGGGAGTTAGGCAAGGAGACCCATTGTCTCCTTACCTCTTTGTTATGGTCATGAATGTGCTCTCCTGTTTTCTAGATGCTGCAGCTAGGAATGGAATTTTCAAATATCATCCTAGGTGCAAAAGAAATTCACTTGCTCACATTTGCTTTGTTGATGACTTGTTGCTATTTTGTTATGGTTCTATGGATTCAGTGTTGGGTGTAGTAAGTGTCCAAGATAAATTTTATGAGCTGTCTAGACTAAGGTTAAATGCTTCTAAGACTGAGATTAATGCTTGTGGGTTGAATGGTGGTGACTTAGAGGAGATTCAGTGTGCAACCGATTTCCGAATTGCCCAGCTCCCTGTTAGATACTTGGGGGTGCCACTTGTAACTCGTAAGCTCTCAGAGAAAGTTTGTATTGCCCTTTTGGTGAGAATTAAGGAGAAGTTGAGACAGTGGTCAAGCAGGAAATTAAGTTTTGGTGGGAGGTTGCAGTTAATTAAAACAGTTATGTTCAACATCTTTAGCTACTGGAGCAAGCAACTTGTTTTACCAAAGGGAGTGATCCAAGACATTGAAAAGTTATGCATGTGCTTCTTTTGGAAAGGAAATGATACCTTGGCTAGGGAAGCTAGAGTTAGTTGGAATCAAATCTGCTCACCGAGATCCGAGGGAGGCCTAGGGCTAATGATGGCTGATTGGAACAAGACTTGCTATTTTTTGCTAGTTAAGAACATTCTAGCTGATGAGGGCTCTTTGTGGATCGCCTGGATTAAAGCCTATTGTTTCAAGCATGAGGATTATTGGAGTGTGGGGAATAAATCTCATTTCAGCTGGATACTTAGGAAATTGATCAAGTTGCGAGAAGAGGTTGGGGTTCTGTTCCCAGCTCCTGTAAGCTGGACACAGGTCAGAGGTAGATGGGTATGGGATAGAATTCGAGAAAGAAAGGAAAAAGTGGAATGGTATTGCCTTGTCTGGTTTCCTGCTCATATCCCAAAGTTTTCTTTGATCACATGGATGACAATCCTTGATAGGCTACCTACCAAGGACATACTTGCTCGGTTTGGAGTGGTGACAGACCTTGGTTGCGGGCTGTGCGAGATTGGATTGGAATCCAAGAACCACCTGTTCTTGGAAGGCCCTTACTTGAGAGCAGTCTGGGATTATGTCTTACATGATTGCAGGTTGCAGCAGCAAGGATTAAGTTGGGATGATCTACTCTGCTGGATGGCTAGCAATTGGAAGGGTAAGTCCCTGCTAGTTCACGTTCTGAAACTGGCATGGACTGGATTCATTTATTTCATTTGCGAAGAACGCAACTATCGTGTTTTTAGGGGATTGTCGCGTTCGACTGATACAATTGTAAATATTATAAAGGGAATGTTAGGATTAAGTTGTACAGGCATGATATGAATAGAGTGGATAGTGTAAATAGGCAGCTTTGCATTGATTGGGGACTCATATAACATGTTGTAAATTGTTACTTGTAGCAACTTGCTGCTTTCTTTTGGATGAATAGATTGATTATCCAAAAAAAGAAAAGGACAATAAAATTAAACTAAAACTAAAATGGCTAAACAAGGCAGTAAACAAGTCGAATCGAGCTCGAATATTACTGAGTTCAACTCGAATAGTTCATGATTTGTCTTCTCTCATTTACAGCCCTAGACTAAACAAATATATCTTCACGTATTTTTTTAATAAAAAAATTAAGAGACATTGATCTCTCGAACTAAGTATAGTTTTGTTTCAACTTAATCTTACCTAGAGAATAAGAGAAGATAATTTTAAAACAAAGGAAAAAAATACTCTTAGTAAATTTAAAACTCATAATTTAGAAAAATATAATAAAATAAAGATAAACAATTTGATTAATCCGCTTAGATTGTGTTTTTGATTTTTTTAGTTAATGTTATTATTATTTTTAAAATGAAATAACTGGTGATATCTATTAAAAACAAAGTAGGCGATACATACAAGGTTCACTGCCGTGTAGAGAAGGAAGCATTAAACCGATATGCACATCTGTTACCTTCTCACCATGGGTGCCTGACTTCACTTATCTACCTTTCTCTGAAGATCTCTCAACATTCCTGAACAAGTGAGTTGCATGAATAGTCCTCTGCTGAATCCCTGTTTAGAGCATCTACCACTAAGTGGGCATCCATTTCTAAGATTAATATAGTCGCTCCAAGAGTTTTTGCTAGGATAAAACCCTCGAGAGTTTTATTCAGCGAACCCACTGGGTTGTCTTAAAATAGTGTAAAACTTAAAGAGTTTCACGTAACCAACAATCAATTGGTCTAGTGGGATGAGACATTAGGTCCCTTAAGTAAAGTTTAGACTTGAATTTTGACGTTTGCGAATGGAGTAAATTGAGTTGGGAGGGTCGTCCTTATATATGCAATATTCAATCTAGATTAGTCAGTCAAATAGATCAGATATCATTAATTGTTTTAAAAAAAAAAAGTTTCACGTAATATAATTGGACCCTACTATATATAATAAGACGATTGTTATTGATCGTAAATATGACCGAAAAGCTTCAAAGTCGAAACAGGAAAACGCAAGTTTGAAAGCTTAGTCTTGGGATGTGTTGAGACTATCTTTACTAGTGACCATCCATAGTTTAGCCAAAGAAATTCGCTCACCGTTCCGTTTTCTTCTTCTTGCGCCACCACCACCACTGGCGGCTCCAACATCGTCGATCAGCGTAGCCATCGCTCCCACATGCCAATTCCCATCTGAATCCTGAGTATATATAAGCAACGAATATTAACTCCGAATTAAATAGTTATAGTTACGTGTGAATTATAAAACTTTAAGTATCTAAAATATAATTTTAAATTATGTAAACTAATTGGCTACTTTGACTAACCTGTTTAATAAATCTAAATAATTTCAGCTTTCATATTTCATCAAACTATTTTTTAAAGAAAATTAGCTAATGGCTATTCAAATAATTTAACAATGGAATTAAACAAACGAATACCCATAATTTTGAATCAGAAGAAATGCCTTAAGAATTATCCATTTCTTCAGTCCCATGAAAACAAACAACATGGTCTCATTTATCTCTCAACTACACATTTCAAATCAGAATTTTGTTCCCATGGTTCATGTAAACCAGATATCAGTTCAATATCAATCAAATGTTTGGGACAAATGGTTGAATACTCGAATACAAATTTATGTTCATTTCTTTTTAATTATGAACTTTCAGGAGAAGAGTTTAAATATCTGTTCATTTTCTGCATTCCTACATCCCCAAATATCTCTGCAATCTGCATTAACATATATAATTTCATGGGATTAATGGCTTCTGAAAGCATCATGGAGAAAGGGAACCTTCGAAATTCATCGAAAGATCCGAAAGGTGGCTTCATCTGGTTGCCATTCATCATAGGTATGCATTATCAACATCATTTACATGTTCTAAAGCTTGAAAAATTCAATGGTTTTTGAGAAGGCGCTTGAGAAGGTCCCAAGCTATGCATTGGTGCCAACTATGATGCTCTACTTGAAGACCAACTATCACATGACAAAGACCGCTGGATATACTCTTATCAACTGTTGGCAGGCCTTTAGCAATTTTGCTCCTATTCTGGGTGTTTTCGTCGCCGATTCTTACATGGGTCGTTTCGTTACCATCGGCTTGGGTTCGGTCTCCAGTTTCCTGGTAATCAGCATCACTTGTTGATAACTTTAATGATTGCATTGCAGAGTGTTGGAATTATATGCCTAACAACTTTCATGCCAGAAACAAGGCCACCTCCTTGTGACACCCTTACTTACATGAACTGCAAATGTGCAACACCAGGTCAAATGAGTATACTAGTTTGTGTCATGTTTTTCAAGTCAATCGGAGTGGATTTTTTTTGGGGGGAGGGGGCGTCAGGCCACGTTCGATGCCATTCGGTGCTGATCAGTTGAGCAACAAGAGCCAATAGAGCCTCGAGAGCTACGTTGGCTGGTATTATGCCGTTGCGTCCCTCGGTGGTTCGCTTGGTTTAACGGTCGTCGTTTATATTATAGAGACGTATGGGTGGACAGTGTGTAATACCCCAATTTAGGGGCTAAATTTTAAGAAATTATAATGTGGTACATTTAATTGGTATTTTGGAAGAAAATGAGGATTAAATTGCAAAATTTTAAAGTTGGCAGATCGTTTTAAAAAGTACAGGAAATTCAGTGGCTAAACCCATGATTTAACCATTTTTTATATATGTTGAAATATAATCCCCCGCCCGTGCTCAGTTTCTGGAAATTTTTCCAGTTTCCCTCTCCCGTCAACCCCTCTTTGAACTCCGATCTACTCGCCGTCCGACCTTCGATCGACGAGCCGAAACCACCATCGTGTTCGTTGTCAACCGAGGAACAAAACCCCTCAAACCTTTCGTCGTGAATCATCGCCTTTCGTCGTGAATTTCAGTCGGAAGTATCGTCGGTAATAACTCGGTTTTAGTTGGTTTTTCATCGATTCACGACGATCGGGTCATCCGTTTACGACACCTCCCGCACCATCGTGTTCCTTGAGCCGTTCCGAGTCCACCGGTGTCCTCCCTTTTCTCCGGCGGCTGCGGCGCGTGTGGAGGTGAAGCGGTTAAAGTTTCCGATTTGTTGAAATCGAGCTCTCCGCCGTTCAAAATTGTGAACCGAGCTTTGTAAGTATCTCGAAATCGCTCAAAATAATTTTTAGAAATTTTTCCGGGATTTTATCACTGTTCACGCTCCCCCACGCGCCGCCACTGCGCGTGGGGAAGAAAAAATGACCGGTTTGACCGGTTTTGGTGCATAGTTGACCGGTTTGACTGGTCATAACCCGACCCGACCCGTTTACCCGACCCGTTTACCCGACCCGGCCCGTTGACTAGTTGATCGTTGACCCTTTGACCGGCGTTGACCAAAACTTTGACCGGCTTTGACCGGGTATTAAACGACCTTTGACTTCGACAGAGTATACCTATCCTGACATTTTTCGACGTTCTAAATCCGATTCCGCTGTCCATTTTTCGAAATTCGAACCCAAAGGCCTCGAAATTGCCGGTCAAACCCGTTTACTTTGATTTTGACCGAAAATTCCAAATTTCTGAAAAGTCATATTTTATGCTTTCGACGTCCTGAATCCGAAGTCCGTTTCACCAAATTCGAACCCGGTAAGCCGTCTTTCACTGATTTATCACTCGATTCGATCTGTTTATCGCAATTAAGCTCCGTTTCTGATATAATTTATGTTGATATGTATCTGAGGTATTATTGGAAGTTGAATTGAAGATCAAAGGCGTTCGAATGGAATTTTTATGGTCGATCAGTATTACACGAAAATCGAGGTAATACTTTACTACCTCTTTATGCTTTATAGAACATGTTGGTATTGATAAATGCATGAATGGAAATGTTTGGTCTCATATGTGTAATTAATGAAGATCTACACTAGATACGAATACGGTAGAAAGTAGATAACTGAATATGGCTCAGATGACTATTATAAGAAATTGGAGGACAGTTGGAATTAAATTACAAGTTCTGGAATTAAGTGATAAAAGAATCAACCATGGATTGTAGATTATAATTTATCTCATTAAAGGTACTTAGATGATAAATTATGAGAATATTTCGATTAGGTAAAATTACGAAATTACACTTATGTTGGAAAATGACAAGAATTGTCCCTGGAAGTGGATTAATAAATCTGAAAAGAATTATTGATCTGCTAAAACTATTGATGTGCATAAGAAATGTTAGTTTTACTTGGAAATTATGGATAACCAGTTTTTAACACCAAGAGTGTTTATGCAAGATACTAGAAGTCTGTTAAGAAATCACTTCAAGATCAGAGAAGGTTCGGGAAATCAATTAATCATAGGATCTATAAATTATATTATTTTCGTTAAGAGCTAATATTGAAATTATCTGGTTAAGAAATTACGCAAATGCCCTTGAGTGGTAAAATAGTCCGAGTTGACCCTGAAGGAGAAAGTACTTTGAGGATTTGTACTTAACTCGATTAAGTACAAATTTAATTATTAATATTCTGTCTTTGTAAATAAAAATTCATAGTATTGTGTTTGTAAAATCTGAGAAGGCACTTGACCCGAAAATATTCGAGTTATGAGTAAATACCTGAAGAACAATTTATCGGAGGGTGCTCTTTTATCAGAATTGTTCGAACGGACTGGAATAGATGATAAATTGGAATTAAATAATAAGACCGGATGGAGGAAAATGATTGAAATACGCTGAATCTGTAAAATGACCAAAATACCCCTGTAATGGAAATGACCCAAGAATACCACCAAGCTCAAGAATGATTGGATATCTTCTAGCTCTGAAATAAATGGAATAAAAATGAACACCAAATTTACCAAAATACCCTTGTGTCCTATCCTAAGTAAATGCCTTGGATTAATTAAGGAATCCAAATAAGCATAGGTATTGGACTACCTTTAAAAGGTTATGGAACACAACTTAAGTAAGCCGATCAACTTTAATGATATGTCAGTACTTGAACGGCATAGATATTACTTGAATGCGTGTTCGTCTACTCAAGTTTAGCTCGATGATAATTTTAGAAGTATTCAGCTCAGCTCAACCCTAGATCGCATTCAGTATTAAGAATTGGACGTTTGTTCAACAAATCAACCAAGAAGACCAAATTGAATGGATCTGAAGTACAATATATATATATGAAATACATGAACGTTTGTATTACTCTGGAAAATCCCGAAGTAATTGGAATGGACTTGAATGCTAAATGAACTAAGTAACTTCAATGACTGAGGATTAAGTAAGAGATTGGAATAAGTTTGGAAACTCGGATGAACTTATATGATGTATCATCCCTATGGATTATGAACCACAAATCAAGTACGTCAGCATTTCATGGTATAGTTGAAACATGGAAATAAAATAAAGACCATTAGAATATTTGCTTGTCTCCTTAAGATCTATTCAGTGATGACTCAGATGATGGTTTGTGGATAAGAATATTTGGTATTAAAGAGTAAATACCCTGAAAGGTTAATGAATTGACAAGTTGGTAAGTATTGGTTCTAGAAGCTATTCATCTGGAGTTATTTGATATTCGGATTAATCGTCATAGATTATAAAGATTCTGAATACCTTCAAATTTCGTAGAGCTTCAGAAAAGTGTTCGAATAAGATGATCCCGATGAATCATATCCTGAATAACCGATGATTTTGTCAGTTAACAAACTCTTCTAATAGTGATTCTAATTTCCGGCATTCTATTGGTAAACTGAAGATTTGCGTTTCTCTGCCCGATAAGATTATCATGTATCTCTAAATAATATCTGGAAACTCTAGTGTGTTCCCTACTTATATGAATATTTTATCTGATTTCTGATTTGAATTCTGTTTTGACATCTGATCTGAAATCTGTTCTGATTCCTAACCTGGATTATGTTATGATATCTGATCTGAATTATGTTTTGATTTTTGATATCTCCGTTTACCGACGGAGAAATGTTTTAAATGGGGGTATTGTTGAAGGAAGAAGTTCCGCAGGTTCCTCGGCTTTGTGCTCAGGGCCTTATTATATGTTGTGTTGGGTTGGGTGTATGGTTCTGGGGAACCTACGCATTATGTTGTGTTGGGATGGGATGGGGGTATATATATATATATATATATATATATATATATATGTTTTAAAAAGATCTGAAAAGTTACATGGTTTTTGGGAATACACTAGAAAACCTATTCTGATATCCTGAACCTAGACATCCGAAATATTTC